GCTAGGGTCTGAGGATAGCCCATAGGAGTCAAGTGTGAGTGTGAGGCCTGGGGACATGGCTAGGGTCTGAGGATAGCCCATAGGAGTCAAGTGTGAGTGTGAGGCCTGGGCACTGAACCAGGTTGTCAGACCTGGCAGCAAATACCTTTTAGCGCAGAATCATCTTGCGAGCCCTAAACACACATTTTTTTTTTTTTTAAACCTGGCAGGATCCCACAGGTTCCTAAGCTCTGTGCCCTTGCTGAATCCACAAGCTCATCACAGGGCTCCAGTAGCTGAGGGCCGCCCTCAAGCCAGCGTTGCCCACTGAGTTTATCGTTCTCCTCTGTAGATCACACAGGAAGCCGGGGAGTTCATGATCACTTTCCCCTATGGCTACCATGCGGGCTTCAACCACGGCTTCAACTGCGCTGAGTCCACCAACTTTGCCACGCTACGCTGGATTGACTATGGCAAAGTGGCCACACAGGTAGGTATGACAGCCGCCTCAGGTTCAGTGGGTGGTGGGGACAGCCTGTACTCACGCGGGTGTGTGTGCCCCCGCTGCTGTCGTGTGCACAGAGGCTGGTGTTCAAGGAACCCGATCTTTAGTTTTTTATTTCTTTTTTCTTTTGATTTTTCGAGACAGGGTTTCTTTATGTAGCCCTGACTGTCCTGGAACTCGCTCTGTAGACCAGGCTGCCCTCATATTCAGAGATCCATCTGCCTCTGCCTCTCGAGTGCTGGGATTAAAGCCAGCCACCACTGCTGGCTCAGTTTTTCATTTCTTAGTGCCCCACAGGGACCACTTCTCTGGGCAGTGCTGCTCTGGCAAACTGGCCTTTGTTGTTGAGCCAAGTTATTTATTAGTTTTAGTTTTTGAAATCAAACATAGTCTGGCTTGATCCTGCCTCATCCTTCCTAGTGGTGGGACCACAAGATGTCCCTGTGCCCAGAATGGGGCCATCATTTAGCTTTTTATCTGTGTTGCTACTTTCCTTGTGCATGTTCATGTGCACGTGTGTGCATGTGTAGTCTGCTGCCCCTCGTCTTCCTGTGTAAGGCAGGGTCTCCTGACCATGGCTTTGGGGGTGCCCCACTAGTCCCTCATTTCACTGGCATGCACTAGTACTTTCAACTTTCTGTGGGTTCTGAGGATGGAAATCAGGCCATACCCCATCTTCCCCACTTGCTTGCTACCTTCACTCTGCTACATGGGCATTGTTTCCTTTTGTGGCTGGTCATGAGGCCAGAGCAGGTGCTCGCTAAGGACATGACATGAACCTGGTGACCTGCTCCAAGGCCGCTGAGGCTGGCTTCAGTCTTCATGAAACACTTAAGTCTGGGGGGAGGTGACATGACCCAAGATTGGGACCTGTGTCCGGTTTTGATTGATTAGACACCTTGCATGCATATCCAGGACTGGTGGGATGGCAACTGAGATCATTTGCACCTGTGGCAGACTGAGCGGTGAAGGCCGGGCCTAAGTTTGCAGGGCTGTTTCAGATACAGTCACAACAGGAACTGCCCAGATAGTGAAAACAATTCCAGGCTCAGCCATGTGTTCACAAACAAGCAGCATTTGGAGAGTGCTGTCCACAATGGCGCCATGCTCACATTGTTAGGCAGCATAGCATGAAATTAGGGAACAAGTGGCCCGCAGCACCGCAGACCAGCTAGGGACAAGGCAGGGTGTCTAGCACAACACCCTCTCATGTGCACCCGGCTACCAGGACAGTCCTCGTGGTAAGGGGATACACAGCCAGCTGAGGGTGGACTCTTGGCCTCATGGTGGGGAGTGGAGACCAGGACTTACTTCTCTCCCGCCAGTGTAGACACAGAGGCTGTGAGGGGTGCTAAGCCATGCAAGGCAGGAAAGGATCTGAGTCCCAAGGCATCTGGGCAGGCAAGTGCTTGTCTCTCCTGTCTCTCTCCAGCCTTTTGCCTCCATCTCAACTGTTCCCACATGATGGTCATAGCCCCTCTCCCCATCCCCCAGCCTGTGCACAGTTTGTGTCCTTTTTATCCTATTCCCATTCTCCTGGGACCTCGCCCATCCTCACACATCCTCAGCAGCAGTGGGGAGCTGCAGGCAAGCTGTCTTTTCCCTCTCCTGCCCACTGGCAGGTACCACTTTGCATTTTTAATGGCTGGAGGGTGTAGAACAATACATGGTCCATGGTAGGCACTGGAGCTTCTTCTTTGTGTCCCTAAGGCACATCGGCTACCAGCATGGGAGTCATTCACCCCTCACTGTAGTGCCAAGCCGGGCCCTCTGCGCACCCGGGCAACCCAAGTCGCCCAGGAAGTTGCTTGCTGACTATGCTAGTGAGACCTTGGCCTTGCCTAGCGCTGTGCATATCCCCATGCCTTCCCCTTAATGAGAGGGGCGCTGAGGGCCCTAGCCCTGAAAGGGGTGCCAAGGCAGGTAACGGGAGGGGGGTGGGATTGGGGAGAATGTGCATGCCCCCTGCAAACCATGTGTAGGAGGGGAAGGAGCCCTCTGACCCACTGCCTGTGAAGTTCTCAGCAATGTCATGCTCAGTCACACAAGCAGTGTGGTGTGGACTCCATGATGAAGACCGTCTAGACTAGGGAATCCAAAGGCAGAAGTGGGGGTGCCAGGGCTAGGGAGGGGACAAGGTGTCCTGGTGGGGCTATCCCCTGGTGGCCCAGGGGATCATCCAGTCACAGCCCCAGTTGACGTTCCCCAGATGCATGAGCACCACCACTACTGTGTGGAATAGGTGGAGACATACAGACTGTCACAGGCTGAGCAGTTATGGTACCTCAGTGAGGAATTTTCTAGAGTATACACATGTGAGCTCAAACATTGTAGGAGGCTCAACTTTGTCCTGAGGACAGGGAAGAGGCCTGGTATTGGGAGATCTAGGTCACCAGGGGCACATCCCTTGAGTCAGCTGCAGCAACTCATGAAGCCTTTGCAGAAAGAAGACCATCTCACAAGTCACATTTCCTCTGTCCACTTCTGTCTTGGCACAGGTGCAGTGTGGTCTCACAAACAGAAATGGCTGGAGGTCTCCCCAGAAAAAGTAACACACATGCTCAGGGACTATCACACTGCCATCAGATGAGTTCTCTCATGGGTCCTACCTTAGTGGTGGAGAGGTGACCCAGTGGTCTGACTTCAAGCGCAGGTCATGGGCTTTGAGCCTCAGCTCCTGCTTCTGCCTGGGACAGGGCAGGCCTACTTATCTAAACTTGGTAGGAACCGGCTCTCTGGAGAGATGGTGTCAGTTGGTCTTCCTGGACCCTCCTTCTGTGGTGACAACAGGACGTTTGGGCGTGGCCCTGGTTATGGTGGGCCCCTCCAGAGCCCTTCTGTGTGCAGCATTATGTGCGGCACCAGCTGTTGACAGCAGAGGTTTTTTGTTTTTGGGGTTTTCTTTGTTGTTGTTGTTTGGTTGGTTTTAAGATGAAGGTTGAAAGTCAACCAGATGGACAGTGAGTCTTAGCGCAGAGACTTGCCCAGCCCCAAGGCCCTAGTTCTGTCCCCAGCAGAAAGCACGCATGGTGGTGCACACCTGCCACCCCACCTTCAGGAGGCAGGATCAGGGAGTTCAAGGATGCCTTTGGTTACATAGTGAGTTTGAGGCCAGCCTGGGCTACATGGGAGACTTGTCTCAATCAAAATCCCACAGCCCTGTGTCAGGTGTAGACCCTTCAGGTCTTTTCCTGCCTTGTCAGCACCATCCTTACAGAGAAGCTTCAGAGCTGCACCTGGTGCTCACATGGAATCTTAGCATCCAAGAAACTAAGACAGGAGGATTGCCATGAGCTTGGTCCCAGCCTGAGCTACAGAGCATGACCCTGTCTCAGCAAAAATGAAACAAAGCTAAGAATCCAGAAAGTTCAGCACCCCACCTGGATCTCTTTGCCTCCCACATGTACAGCAAGAGCCTTGAATGAGCTTGGGGCAGGGCTACTAGTGCCTGGTGGGGCCAGAGTGAGTGCCTACCAAGTCCCAGGCATTTCTCTATGCTCTCATAGAGATGGACCATTCCTGGCTCCACGAAGTCAGCACACTCTCTAGCATGCTCACCCTGGGCTGACAGACAAGGACAGACAGGCCAAGCAACTTAGCTACTGATGCACAGCAGGCACCATGTCCATCATGCTCTCCAGGCTTCAGACCTCTTCAATGACATGCATATGGGTGGGGGGTGAGCCTCTGGGGGTGCTCAGGTCAACGCCCCCCGTCAGAGTTCTCCAGGCCTGGAGACATGTACGGGCCTATGGCACAGTCTGCCTGCCCACATTGCCAACCCTGGCAGACTGAAGCAGCCTTCCCATGGCTAGGTCAGGAGCAGAGAACCAAAGGGGCTCTCCAGGGAGGGGTGCCACCTGTACAGCTTTTTTCCTCTTTGCTCCTCGCTGGCTGCTGTGTCAGCCCTCTCCTGGTCACAGGCCACATACTGCATGAGAAGCTCAGCCCTGGCCTGCACACTTCAGAAGAGGCTCCTGTTGGCAGGACTCACCAGAACTCCACCAGGTTTAGCTGTAGTGAAACAAGGGTTGTGGTCGAGAGCCTGGCTCTGGCTACACACTCAGAGGCTTCTGTCCCTTTGCAGTTCCTGTAGCTGGATGCCAGTCCTCCCAGGAATGCTTGGCATGCCTGAGGGAGTAGACATGAGGTTGGGAGACCTTCTATAGAGTTTGGGGTCAAAGTCTGGAGGTGGCCATTCGGTGTGTGTCACCATGCCCTTGTGGTGAGCTGGTAGCAGCAGTCACTGGGTAGAGAGCACTGAGTTTACTGACCCGTTGAGAACCGCCAGCATTGCTCCCTGCTGTCAGTGAAGTGTCTCCCAGGCTATGTGATTAGCTGTGGCCACCCTGTCTCACTGACCTCTGATTTGTGCCATGGCAGAGCTGTGTGCACAGGGCTGGCCATAAATTTGTCTGTGAAATGGGTTTCCCTCTTGTTCCCTTTCTCAGTCATCATGCCTTTAAGCACATATGTGCCCAGAAGACCCTGGAAGCACCAAGGGTCCTGTGCGGGGAGGGGAAGGGTCTTAAAAGGCAGCCTAGTGTGGCCCCTCAGCACTACGTATGGCCTTGTCATTCTCTGTGGGGTATCCTAACTCTGCACCTCATGACAGGAGTTTCCACAGCCCTGGCAGCCACAGTGATCCCAAGTGTCACTGGGGCCCCTGGCCGCGGAGGATCCTGCTGATAGACTCCTGACCCCTGGCAGTGGTTCCCCAGTAAGTTGAGTGCAGAGTAGATCTTGGACACAGACTCTGGACACCCTGACACTGTGTGGCCTGGGCATTGCCACCTTGTGCCTCAATTTCCCCAGGAGTAAAGTGGGGCTCCAGGGGTGTCCATGTCAAGGGATATTAGGGTGTTCTGGGCTGCCTTGGGAGGCCCTTGGCATGGCAGTGCCAGGTTTTTGTCTTATTGTGGCTGCACTGAGGTTTGCAGAAGGCCAGAACTGAAAGGACCCAACCAAAGAGCAGTGCAGAGAGA